ACAATAAATTTGAGATTCCGCCCATGATGGCGCTGAAGAAGATCGCGTTGAGCTGATTGTTGATATTTTTAGACCAAATCTGGGACTTGTGGATAGACTGATTCAAAATTTGGAAGTGTAGAAACGAGCGAAAGATTTCATCTCTGGCAGGCAGGGTTAAAGGACAACCCTTGCCTGTGCGATAGTCGTTTAGTTTACGCACTGAAAATATTTAGGGAGATAAAAATGGGGAAAGAGTTGGAGTTTTTTCATATCTAAATCGTGAATTATGAGGAACATTGGATAATACTTGTAATGTGTTTTTTTTCCAACTTAGTTCTTTAGAAAGTAGTGAGATCGAAATGTTTGGAGGCACTTTCGGACGTCATTTAATTGTGTGGCCGCCATATAAGATCACCATTTTGAATTTTTCAATTTCCAAATAATTCAGGAAATTAAACCAAGACTACATAACATTGGTACAGAATTGCTAGAGTAGACTAGAAAAGTAATAAGCATAGCAATCACCTGCCAATCGAAACGTGGTTACAGTGGCAACGTCTCAGTCCAAAGGAGAAAAAATTCTTTACTTCAAAATCTTTCCGAGGAGAGAGTGAACAGAATTCAGAGGAAAAGGCAACTAAAGCATTGCCAAAAATTTTGTGTAGAGGGAAGGAGGGTGGGTTTGGCACCCATCCAGCTACACCTTTCTTCCGGTTGTACGCCGAAAACTCATATAAAATTTGCATCAAACATGTAAGGAAGCCCTTTATCTTGGAAAATTGGTCTGTGGAACCACGTGATGACCAGAATAACGCCGCGTTTAATTTCGAGTCAGATTAATTATAAATAACCATTTGTTTAATTTTGTGTGAGCTTCCATTCTCTGACCTTGTTGTATTGGGGTGGGGTGGCTTGAATTCATTTTGACAGGTTAAGTGGTTTCGGCCAGTTCTGACAAGCAGCTGAGTTTTTCACTAGAGATCAAGATGTGTTCTCTTGGGTCTTATTTTTCCAACTTTAGACTAGAAGGTACCTTGATGACTTCAACGATGGAATTTTAGGTTTACCCATGCCAAACCACGAGATTGAACCCAAGAGCGTGCGATAAGCACTGCATCCCTATCTTGAATTTTAATGTGAAAGTCCTAACTACCTGCGGGCCAGCCAACTTTTTATCAGTGTGATTAGTTTTCAAAATAGAATTGTCTTTGTCTTTTTAAAAAATCCCCATCATGGGCTAGCCTGCAGCAATTTCTAGCAACAAACATACGTTTGGGTTCAACGGGAGTTTATTTATTCCTAAAAATGTCATTACTAAAATACAAGAGACGCAATCAAAGCAAAAAATTTACAAAGCACTCACTTACACATACTGTAGAAACTCATTTTCCCATGCCAAAATACAAGCGCGCTGAGAAACAGTCGTTTAGACTGAAAAGTAATTACTACGGACAAAACGAAGCACTTTAATATAAGATCTAGCTTAAAAATTCATTTTATAAAACCATTGCCGGTTACATGGACGGGAAAGCATCTAGTAAAACAAAAACTACCGTATAGATGGCTAAAAAACTACAGGGTGCTAAGGACTAGCTCGTTACTATATTATCTTTTTTACTTTTATCTAAAACGAACTTGTACCTTAAATTCTTTGGTCAACAAAACGTATTTAGTTGTTGTAGCCCAGAGGTAACACTTTCAGAAAAGTCAAATGCGAGGTTGAATTGTGTTTGAATTTTGATCGGTTCAAGCAGGTTATTTAGAAAGTTTTCTTTTTCTGAAAAACTTTCAAGTTTGCAGGTATAAATGAGGGGTTCAGAACCATATCGGGCTAACCCACCAAAATTTCATATTCGATGTTATTGTTGTTTTCAATC